CCTCTGCAGAACTAAAATCCTTGATGGAGACACAAAAGGATCTGTCAGTGAGGTAGGATCTGAACCAACTGAGGGCTGAACCTGTGATGCCCACCCACTGCTCCAACCTAGCAATGAGGATCTCATGGTCGATGGTGTCAAAGGCGGCTGTGAGGTCCAATAGGACAAGCAGCACAGAATCACCAGTTTTAGAGCCGTACTGTAATCCTAACATAGCACCTTTCTGTCTAATCAAGACACTCAAAGACAGCACAATCTGTGTCTGTAGACAGAGACATGGACAAAAAGCTGACAGTGGAGACCAAAAAAAAAAACTAGACACAAAATACAGAGTGTTGCTCTCACTGTAGATGATCTGCATAACTCAAATGAGCAATATCGTTTTTTTTACATGTTAACTTTTGCCATATACTTAAAAATTGATTACCTTATCATTTTATACCTAGTTACTTCTGCCTCGTACTGGCCAAACTGTGTATTACGGGTTTGAATTTTAACCATATTGCAGCTGTACATAGTGCTTCCGCTCCTTTTTAATAATCACAGACGAGCCGGCTTACTGTTCCTGCGAGTGGCGGTTGAATTTACATCTTAAAGAAGGGAAACAAAGGTTTTAGTGGAGGATTTATCACCTTCAGTTAACCTTGTTTTGTGTCAAATATCCATTTATAAAAGCGGATTATCAGCCGTATTAATTTTATGTAAACCCCGCCTAACTTGTGCTCCGCCGGATTGTGCTGTTGAGCAATTGGTGCAGAACTTGTCTAACTGTCGGCCATTCGTGCTTTTACTGTGAAGGCACACGCAGACCGGAAGTGTCGGAACGTTACGGTTACGTTCGTTTCTTCGTCGACCTGATCGCTAACGACCTGCCATGTTAAAGGACGGAGCTAAAATAATACTTCCATCGACGCCAGGAGACGTTTAGGTTAATGAAAAGTGGGAGATAATCGCAGACAACGAGTGGTATGTAAGAAAAAAATTAATCAAAAAATTTAGCGCGAGGAAAAATGGTGGTTTTCCAGTAGTTTGTGGTCGTTGTCAGCAAACGGGCCCGGCCGATGCTAACGTTAGCACGATGGCCTACGATCTGAATGGTGAAATTTGTTCAACATTTTGTTGAGTTTAACCAAATAATACTTTTTTCATGGTGTAAAATTCTATTAAATGAATTGTTGGTAAGTTTATGACGCAGTAGTATGATTTTGTGGCTTATTTTCAGAGAAATGTGTTTATACGTTACGTCATCGGCTGCAGATTTGTAAGGTTTGCTGCATGTGACATGGAATAGATGAAGTTGCAGATGTGCATCTCCAGAACAAAAGGTGGTTTATGTAGCCTCAGAAATATGGGAAAGCATGGGCAGGAAGGATCTCCTGCAGCGAATCCGAAGAATCTGGCCACAAATACCGATCCATCTACACGGATCCAGCTTGCTGTCAGGTCCGGTGGGCCTCTCGGTCCTCCTGGGCAGAAGGAGAAGAATGCCGGGCATTATTCCTCCCTGATGGTGGTCACTTCTCCCTGCAGTCTGCCGAGCTGACAGCTGAAGACGGTAAAGGACGATCCCGTCCTCCCGTTGTCACGAGCCGAGTTTCCCACCAGCTCCAGGATCTCGTCAGGGACTTGAGCACAGCTGCCAGATTGACGGGAATTCATCCACGGCGCCTCCTTTTCAACACTGATTTTTTTTTTTTGGGCTGTAGTTGAGGTATTACTGAGCTTTTGAGATGTTATTCAGTTGCTCCTGGTAGTTAAAAACAGTGTTGTCATGGTTACGCATCATAACAAATGCCCAAAAGCTGCACAGCATCCGATACCAGAGGAAGCAATCGTCCGAAGAGATCATCCGAAGAGACTGATTTACATCCAGAAAAAAGAGGAATTAAAGTTTTCAAAAGCAATAACAGAATGAATGTAACAGCTACTCCAACATGCAGCCACCCCGAGTGGCACAATTGATTTTATTTCCAAAAATAATTTCAGTGAAGTATGTTAGGTTAACTTGAACGACTTTTTAAATTATGGTCATCAAAAACACGAAAGGGGAAGTTGCTCCAGAGCAGAGGTTTTATTAATTGTAACAGGAAAGCATATTTGTTTTCTTAAGTGTTGTGATTATTGTTTTGTGACACAAATATTAAATAATGCATTTATTGAACATAAGAAGGCACGCCGTTTTGCTGCTGATTTTCTTAAATCAGCTGAAGAACAAAATGTGAAACAGAGTTCCTGGACGTTCATTCTCCTTCAGAGTTCTGGAAACCTTGACACAGGAAGCTCAGGTAGCGACGGAGCTGTGCCTTTATTGAACTGTGCAGAGTCCACGTGTACGTCGTCCTGAAACGAGCGACCACCAGGTGAAAGGCTCAACACCACCCTGAGGCAAAGCAATCGACTTCTCTTTCTTCTTTTTGTAGGTTCACCTGCAGAATTCTTGTTTTTGTTTTGAATTTTCAAGATTGATCTTGGTGACCTAAGAGGAAGTGGAGTTACCTTTTCTAGATTGGTCGTCTTGGCATTGTCAGCCTTCTTTTTACGTTTTCTCTTTACTATAATTTTTGTGTCGGATAAGCATTACCGCCTCCGCAAAAACTTTGTTTTATTTTTATTTTTCCCCTCAGTGTGTCACGCGTTATGTTTTTGTCAGTTGTGCTTTGTCTTGATCAGATATAAATGCACCATTCAACGCATTGTTACTGATTTTTGTGTGAAGGTTTATAACGTGAGGTTCTTCATCTCTAAAGTGTCACTATATTATTGACCAAAACCAACATTAACCACCTGAATAATGTTTTTGGTTTAAATTGGCAACAAAACATCTACTTTAATTTTTGTCCCCATCTAACATTTTGCAGTATATGTCCTTCTGTGGCAGAATGACTCTAATAATACAGTTAGGCTGCATTTGTGAACCAAAATATTACCAGAGATTAGCAGACATCAATAATTATAACTGCTTTGTGCACAAAACTTCCCCTCAATTCATTACCAGCGTTGGCTAAATTTGAAATTAACTAAAGTTTTGTTGCCAGTGGAAATTCTCATTTATTTGGGACATGGCAAACTGCTCAGTAGTTAAATAAAAGATAAATAGAAAAATAACGATGCGAAAACTTCCCAAATGGCAAATGTTTTCAACTTAAGAATATAAGTCCCTTAGTTTTGTTTTAATAATATTTTAGGTCTCGTAGTTTCAGTTTGTTAGCTTGCTCCCTACATTGTTTTCCGTTTAGAAATTCTTGACATACAGTGTGTATTCACTGAAAAATCCACTAGAAAATCAATGTTTTTCAAAATAATTGAGGCAAATGGCTAAGAAAGCAATTTTGATAGGTATTGTAAATTGAACTATCAGAAAAGTATGTTGTACCTACATAAATCGGCTTATTCAAAGAACAATTGAAATAAAAACCTACAACCAATAGAAACCCTTGTGCTGTACCTGAAGCACTTCAAAAGTTTTAGCCTGCCAAGTGGAAAAATCACCAACAACCAGTTGCATTGTTGCTTTTTTATGTTTTGGTCAAGTTGATCTTGTGGTTTTATGCATGTATTTAGTAGGATTTGTTACAAAATGGTCTCTTAATTGTAATGGTTTCAGACCTCAGGCTTAGAGGAAGAAAAGATGTTACAACTCAGAAACCGATTATATCATGAACTGTATCATCATTTTCAGAAGTGCACACTAAAAAGTCCCAAGTAAATCTAAATTGTCAAAAGTTGGATCAAAACTTTTGCTGACGTTATTTTTCTTCTCAGAGCTACTGACAGTCAGAACAGGATCTTGTTACCCAAACAAATGTTTTCCTGTTGTTGCTTCCAGGAAACTAATTTCCTCTGCCTGTAATCAGTTAATTATTAGGACTATTCTTTGTTGTTTATCGTTCTTTTTATTTGTACTTCTTGTTTTTTTGTAGTGAAGACATAAAAATTACACTGAAGGAATTGCTATGTTGTTGACTGATAGGCAAATGGGGAGGGATCTTCCAAATGGTGGATAACTCGTCCACATTGCTGAAAAGTCTTGTCCCGCTCAGTAACCCCTTTGCTTTGTTTTTCTTTAAACTTTTCAGCTTTTCTTTGCTACTGGAGCATTCTCCCCATTGTCCTGCTCCAGGGCCTCTAACGAACCCCCTCTTTGGAGGGCTTTCTGGGAGCCCACCACTGACTGGAGGGCAGACTGCATACTTGCAGTTGGCTCAACTCAAGGCTCAGCTGGCATTGACACAGATGAACAATGTTTTTCCTGTTGGCGGCCGAGTTGTGACCTTTACAGCGAACTCCAACACACCATCTTCACGTCTTTCCACAACACCACCTTCACCAACTGCTGTGGCCATCAATCTTCTGAATGTTCTGAAGATTGCTAACACCATGTCTCATCCTATGTTTAACCCCTTTGTCCCTGGGAAACAAAGTTCCTCCCAGGGGCAATATGGACTCTCCAGTGGACAGACAGTAAGAGATTCTCGAATAGTGTTGCCTCGCCTTGAACCTGGGTCCAGCTACTCTTCTGGAATTGCGCCTCTGACACGGGGGACATCTGAAGGGTTTCTACCACCACCTCTTGCTCTGCCAGTGAACTACAGACCTGAGAGAAGCAGGATAACAGTTGATGAGGACATAGAGCGATGCTTAGACTTGAATATTAGCAGAGCCAGGGAGGAGGCGAGGCATCAGTCTGTAAACCAGAACGTTCCCTTCAGCACCCAAAGACAAGTGTTTCCATCCTCGAACACAGATGTGATGTCCTTTCAGTCATCTTCAGCTTTGCTAGGAAACAGACCCTCAACAGTTGACATTGCCAGTAGGTCCTTGGACTGGTTGTCTTTGTTTAAAAGGCCCACAGAAGATGATCCCTCAAAAATGTATTCATCCACTTCATCCAACTTTTTAAACAGTGGTGACGGTAGGTTTAACCTCTCCATGGAAGGAAACTGTAATACGCAGTCCATTCCAGGCATTGGTAACTATGGCAGTATTGTGCCAGAAAGGTCTGTGCGGCTCCCGGAGTCCAGTCGCCCCAAGTATACTTCAGAATCGGCTTCTAACATTCTCTTGCAATTTGGACTTGAAAAGGAAGACTTGGAACAACTCATCACATACCCCGAAGACCAGCTCACGCCTCAAAACCTGCCGTTCATCTTAAGGCAAATCCATTTAAAGAAGTCCAAGAGAGCTCCACCTGCAGTTCCATCAAAACCTTACAGCGAACCTCCACCCATTGCAAGTGTGAGTAGAATGGACAAATTAAGTGGATTCAGAGGTGCAACAATGCCCCAGGATGAAATGCAATCAGTTCTTAAACCAAGCAAAGTCATTGACTATGGACATACTGCCAAATATACTGCAGGCAATGAGAAAGACATTGGAATCGCTACAGCTCAGACTGGTGGGGATAAGAGTATGTTGTATACAGACACTTTCAACAGTAGCAGCCACAATCAAGAGCCACTGCCAGAACCAGCTCACCAGACAGCTTCAACATCCCAGCCATCTGGGACCTTGTTCCACAGCATTCATCCTAGCCGTCCTGGCCTCGTGCTTATTGGCAGAAATGACGATAGTCGCAACAGTACTCAAAGTAGAACTCAAGCGTCAGAGTCCAAAGCACTGGTGGAAAAGCAGCAAGGACAGCAGCAGGTGAAACAACAGCCAAATCAACAGGCCCAACAGCATCAAGCACAGCAGCAGAGACAGCCGCCGCAGCAGCAGCAGAGACAGCAGCCGCCGCAGCAGCAGCA